GGCTCAAAAAAGACAGGCCAGTCTCTGGCCATGGCCACACAACCAAAAAGATCAATGATAGGATGGCCCCAGGATTCCTGACCCCCTCCCTGCCCACCCCTGTCTCCCTCTCTGGTGAACATGTGGTCTTTATGGAAGTGAAACGAGAAATGTTTGAATCTCAGTTCTTTGTTTGCTGGGTGACTTTGGGTAGGTCTTTCTGAGTGTCCCTCTGTGAAACAGGCTTCCTAGCCATTCCTACCTAACATAGCTGCAGTTGTTCCAAGGCTCAAGGAAGCTGTTGTTCTAAAGCCCTTCTCACAGTGCCTGGCGCACATTGAAGATTAGGAGTCGAAAGCACAGAGAGGCAAAGTAACTTGCCCAAAGCCACACAGTTGGTGAACACAGGAGCCAGGCTTAGAATCCGGGTTTATCTAACCTCACAACCTGAACTTCTACCCAAGTAAGCATTCCATGAATGGTAGTTATTAGTGCTGTATTATTTAGTATCCGTTGATAAAATAAAGGTGGATGAGGAAAGTTCATCATATCTGGCAGGACCTATTCCCAGGGCTCTGCTTTCTGGAAAATGAGGTTACCAGCACCTAGAGGAAGCTGGACTCTGGGCCCCCTTCCAGCACAGCCATCCTGAATCTATCCCTTTTCCTGCAAAGGGTCGTGGGGAGGAAGTGAGCACCATCCCTTTTTTCCAGCTGCCAGCCAGCAGCATTCCTGGGGGTGGAGGTGGACCTTGGCAGGCAGGCCCCTGGGCCTTGTGCTGAAAACACTCAGAGGCTGGCCATGGCCTGTGGGTATCTTGCTGGAGGGAGAAGAAGAGAGAAAGGGGTGATCGTTGCAACAGGCCCAGGCCCAGGAGGGTCAGGACTATATTCTTCAAACCCTGAAGGACATTCCTAGGGCTTGCAAATTTATTTCTATGAAAATCATTGCAAAGATAAACAAATTCAATCACACTCAGTTGTACATTTAATGAACTGTCATTTTTTGGGGGAAATCATTTGCAAATTACATATCAAAAGAGATAATTCAGGAAAAAATCAGGGATGATTACATGTTTAAAATGCGGACTGCCTGGGAAACGCTAGGTAGTAAGGTCAAGGTGCCTCCGAGGAAAGGATCTCGCCCAACTAGCATCATCCAGCCACCCATTCATGCATTAGGCTCACCTTTATTGAGCAGTTATTATGTGCCAGGGGCTGTGTGGAGAACTTTCCAGGAGACTTCCACAGTCGCCCAATGCCAGTGGTGTGGTTTTGAGTCCCGTTTTAGAAATGCATCAACTGAGGCTCAGAGCTTAAGTGGCTGGATCAAGGAGGCACAGTTGGGAAGTGGTCTCTAACATCCCCCTGACTGCTGATTTTGTGCCAGTTCCTGGAGACCCGGAGATGAACAAGGCAGGGCCCTAGTCCTTGAGAAGCTCCTAGTCTAATCAGCCACAAACTTATAAATGTTAGGAGCAAGAGGTCATCCCTTCCAGTGGTTTCAAATTCTTTTTACGTAAAGCACACTTTCTCCTTGAAATCTTACGTGAGGTACCATCATAGAAAACAGATGAAAAGGGACCCTGCTTCTGGCTAAAGCTAGGAGGGAGACCTCCCTCCTTCTCCCACGGTCCTTAGGTACCCAGGAGCAGGACCTATCAGGCCAATTTGAAACCAAATGTCTCATTTTACAGATGGGGACCCTGAGGTCCAGAGAGGGAAGGGAATTGTCAAGATGGCCAGGATTGGAACTTCAGCCTGTGGACCCCTGGTTGAGAGCTCTGTGCTCTGCACTAGTGCCCCCAGGATACTGGTGTGTGGGTGTTCACCCCAGGTGTCCTGTGTGCATCAAACAGGTACAGCATCTGGGCTGCCCAGCACTGGCCACACCTTGGTGGTGAGTTTGGGGCTTTCAGGTGCCAGGGAAAACAGAGTCTAAGAGACCTTTGGAGGAGAGGTGAGAATTTTCAAAAGAACCCTTTCTACTAGACCCCCCAAAATTCAGGGGAGTTGAAAGGGCCCTGGCCTGGGAGTCATGAGGCTTTGGTTTGATGCCCAGCTCTCTGACTATGACGAGGATCCGGTCCATGTTTCTTCCTCAGTTTCCCCATCTATATAATGAAGTCATTGGATGACAATGAATTATCCATAAGGTCCCTTCCAGAATGGGCAAATGGGGAGCCTAAAATCTTCTGGGCGAGGCCACTTCTGGGTTTATGGCAACCTAGACTCCAACTGGTCACCAGTGGCCTTAACACCACCTTCACTCCCTCCTGAGGACTGCTGACCCTTGTCCATGTCACCCCCAAACCCCGTTTTTCTCCCTTCCCCAGCTTCTCTCCTCCCCATCCCCTCTCCTCAGTTCCCTGACAAACCACAACCTTGGCTCCTTTCTTGCTTCTTCTCAAAGAAAAGCAAAAGGGATCCTAGAGGCCATCTGTCCAAGCTTCTCATTGTACGTACAGGTGGAGACACTGAAACCAGAGAAGGGAGTGACTTCCCCAAGGTCATCCTGTGAGAGGGAGGCCTGCTCTCTGCAACCGGGATCCCCTTCTCTTGTCCAGGACTGAGCCTGGGGTTCCTAGCTTTTGGCAAAAAGGACTTCTTGCCTAACACACTTAGAATTGTGTTTCCCAATTGTGGGATATCAGAGATCTTCGAAGGAGATTTAATTAAGGTCTTGCATCCTTGGGCCTTCCCCAGGAGTTGTGGGTGGGAAGTCCCTTTTCACTTCTCTCTCGATCCTTTTGATCACTACTTGGATGAGTCTCACTTTGTTGCTAATGTGTCTTTAACACCTTTCTACCCCTTGCTAATCTCCCTTTTCAATAGAGAGTGGGCCCCTAGCTCAGTTCAGCGCCTTCCTTAGGCAGTAGTATCTAACTGGAATTGTGTGTGTGTGTGTGTGTGTGTGTGTGTGGTTAAATATACATTGTTGAAATTTAATAACCCCACTTTATTTTCATTGTATTTATTTTATGGTTACCTTCTATTTATAGTAATGTGATGCTGGTTTTCCATTTATGGTAATGATATAACATTTCTTTGTAAAACCAAGCACATTTAAGTAAAAAACAAAAAAGTGACAAAGCAAGAGTTGATTTAAAGAAAGCTATTAAGCAAATGGTTCTATCTGGTGTACAGATAGGGCCAGAATCTTGATAGCAGCAGGGGAATGGCTGAGATCTGGGGAACATGGACTTGGGACGGGAGCTATCTTCCCAGCTGGGTGTCTTAAGTTGTCCAGTTGGCTTGCTGGGTCCTCATCTCCTTGCCCTCTCTCGCCCCACTTCCTCCTCCTGCTGCTACCAATCCCCTAGACCCTTAGTGACTGCATCCCTCCATCCTGTGGTCTCTGGCCTCTGCCTCCCAGGCCCCAGCACCCTGACTGCACGCTCATGCTTTTTTCCTCTTTAAATTTATGTGGTGCCTTGTTTCCAAGGAGGCCCACACAGATAGCCTCCTCCAACAGCATTCCATAAACGCAGGGCCCGTGGGGTTTCTCAGCTCAAAGGGTCAGCCTCTCCCCCAGCCCTGTTTTGGCAGCTGAAGGGGTGAGTGTGGAGCCGGAGGCCCTTTCGCGGTTTCCCTGTCCTTGTGTTACAGAAATTGCACTATTAGAGATTTTCTGCCCGTGGGTTAAGCATTGCTGGCTCTGGGTCCAATTCAAAATGGCAGACCTTGTTGTTTTCCTCCCAGCCACACACTTCTACTCTATTAGCCCCTCCTCAATTTATCCAGTGACTCAGTGAAATGGTTGAAAGGGCCAGACATTCTCAAAGTTCTTAGAGGGATGTATTCTTTTCCTGGAATGTGGCCAAGGAAAGACAGCGACTTCTTGCCCCTTGAAACCCTGCCCTGTGGCCTGACCTCACCGACATTCAATTCAAGACTGGGGTAGGTTCAACTCCTATCAGTCATTCTCTCCTTAGTGCAAATCAGTTGAACAAGGGGCCTCCTTGCAGGCCTTCTGTGTGCTTGAATGTCCAGGGGCAGCAGGCACTGGGTATGGAAGCATCATAGCTGGGACTCAACTCAGAAAGAGCTGCCCAAGGAAGAGCAGTGGACAGCCTGAGTCCCTCTCATCTGGGAGTTAGCAAGTACTTTCACTTGTGCTGTCTGCTTTGATCTGCCTGCTTACCCATTTTGTCTGGGGTAGGCTGGGTGGGTAGCTGCTTTATTATAGAGGAGGTTCAGAGGTTAAATGTCTCAGTGAAGTCATGTGTCAGGGGCTATGGCAGCAGTACAAAGATGAAAAGAGAAGTCTTGAGATTGGAGACACAGATCTGGCCTCTCACAATCAAGTCATTTGCATCTGAACTGGGGTCAGGCCCCTCCCTGATGCAACCCCCCCCCCC